AACACACTGATATGTATGATGTATTTGCCAAATACGAATGAAAATGGTACATAAATTGTGGAAATATAGTAGTAAGGCAAAAAGTCAGATGGCTGTCAATCGGCCATCCTTGACCAGATTTTGAAACAAATTGTCATGGACATGCATCCTAACATGTATAAAGCACATGTATGTGCCAAATTTGAATGAAAACTGACAGAGCAGGTCCAAGATACCGCATAAAAAAACAAACAAGATGCCTGCCAGTCGACCATCTTTGATCCAATTGTGAAATAAATCGTCATGGACATGTATCCTAACATGTATAATCTATGTACCAAGTTTGAATGAAAACTGACAAAGCATGTCCAAAATACAACATTTTCAAAAAACAAGATGGCTGCCAGTCGGCCATTTTAAATCGAATCGCTAAACCACTGCATGTACATATGTCCTACATAAGGTACTAGGCACATGCAAAGAATGAACGGAATCGGCCCTCAGGATTCTGAAATACGACTCTGGACAGACTGACGCACGGACGGATAGACTCAGGAACTCACGGACGGTCGGGGACATACAGTACAGTTCTCGCGGAAGCTTTGGCTTTTGTGGCATCATTGTCGCCTACGCATGGCTTCATTGTCGCCTCAGCATCGCATCATTGTGGCATCAGCTTCGCGTCATTGAAAATTGAAGCTGTGTTCGCCTCGCTATTTTGTGGCATCATCGTGGCCTCAGCTTCGCAGTCTCATGGCATCAACATGGCATCAGCTTCAACTTATTGTGACATGAGTATGACCTCATTATTTGCACGCAGAAGGGCAGTAGACAAAAACATGTACAGAAGTTCGATATGTAATCGATTTGAAATTCAAGGCGAATAAAATAATATGATCAAGAGTAAAATGACATTTTAAAAAGATATCTTGTTTAATTATTTTAGTGTTGCGAGTATTGGGCACCAAAAACTTTTCGAAGTACATTACAATCGACAAGGTGACGAGTTTCATATTGACTGGAAGGAAAATAGTGATAAATTCAAATCACACGATGCAATCGTCGTTCTGATACAACACAATTTGCTGTATACGAAGTGAAACTGTTCTTGTTATAAAATTTACCTTTTTTCGCTCATTTTATTTGCTGCTAGAAGAGCAGATTCAGATTCCTCATTTCGGTGGTATTTTTCTGTGTTTCGTTTAGTTTTAGCCGAGTCCGACCCCATGCCCGGACTACTAAAACATGCAATACACACGTACGCCGCCTGGTGCGTCGGCGTCGTCGCCAGTCATCTTGATACAAAGTTTCAAAACAAGTGCGTACATTTCCAACATATGATTGGATGGTTGTGGTGGCGTCGGTCTGGTAAAATTTGACAACCAATTCTCAAAATTAAGTCACGATCAGTGATCTGAGCTCGATCTATACGTACTTTAAAAGTATTCTCACAAACATATTTTCGAATGAAAACGAGCCATGCCCTGTAAAAAATCGAATAGCGCTTGACATGCAGGAATAATTTATTGGGCTTCAGAAAAAAAAAACGTGTCCATTTAGTGTGGCCGTAAATATTTGGTCACCAGCCGATGAACAATTTGAAAATCATGATTCACACGGAAGTCTTTCGATACTGAAAATCATCGACCCCAGTCTGGTTTACCTTATTTCCCAACTTGCAAAACTGATTTGTATCTCAGCCCTGTTTGTTTTGTTTTTTCTTTTTTTTGAACTGAGGTAAAATCCCATCCGTTTGTCAAAATATACCGATGTTTTCCAGTGAATAATTGCGAAGCCTGTCACAGCACACAAAAAAACTTTGTGAATCGACGATGGAGATTGGATGGTACGACGACCCTTCAATTTGCGTTAAATATGTTTTGTTACAACATCATTGATTGGCTGAGAGTCACCTGATCGGAGCATGACCTGGGTCACAGAACCATATTAGTCCGTATTATCAACAGGACTTTGCGAAAAAACCACACTCACATTTTCAACCATTTTAGCGCGGAAGTTGCCAACAAATGTCGAAAACTCGTGAATTGTATAAATTCGAATAAAATAAAGCTAGCGATTCGTAAGACTGGTTAATAATATATCCCCCGATGCTCTTCGATTTTTTTATTTCAAGGTGAGAAATGGATACTAGTAGTTGAAGTTCCATCGATTTCAAGGCGACTATTTAACCGCGACAACTCTACGCTCTGTTGTAGTTTTGCGAGGTAAAACAAAAATACAATAAATAGTACTTGTTTAATTATTTGGTTTTACAGCCCGCAAATTACGGGACATGATCCCCATGAATTGCGATAAATAAATGCTGATTGTGTTGAATGACGGACGTCGGGATCGTTTGGGGAAACAAATTACGGTCGGTAGACATTTCAAACAAATGAAATTATTAACGAAAGACGAGATTTTTCTAGGTATTTACGATCATTCGGTCATACCAAATATATACAAAATTGACAAATACACAAAGATGTGTAATAGTAGGTCATTTTTATTTTAGCCTTAGAAATATTTTCTTTCACTCAGTCCACGTCCATGCGTGGGAATTCTATTTAGCTTCATGGTCCTTCGGCTTGTCTTCTGCTTGGGGGGAAACAGCAATAATTATACAAATCGTAAACTCAACACAATCAGGAAAAGAAACCCAGACAACCATGTTGTACTTCTGTTGAATACATTTTGTAGCAGTGAGTCACGTCGGAATATTGTCTAAAATAAAATATTCAATCCCAGCCAAATCTAGGTCAAAGGGTCAGATTGCGTGCATATAATTATAGATAGTTAAAACAAAAAGTATTTGAACTTTTGACGGTTGTTCAACATCTATGCACGGTTACTAAACTAGTAACCATGATCTATGAAAACCAGAAAATTTTTAGTAGTCCGAATTGTTGCACGGTCGAAAATAAAACGGAAATTGATCGGTCAAAAGCGGAAGCGGTCAAGAGGTTTGGGGGAAATGAGTACAGTACTTCTTTGTTTGATGAAGCAATGCTGATGCCACATTGTCGCCATAATGAGGCCACAATGAAGCGAAGCGATAATCGTCTAACTTTTTAATGTCGCGACATTGAAGCGATGCTGAAGCCATAACAATGCCATAATGATGCAATGCTGAAGCGAAGGTGAAGCTGAAGTGAAGCCAAAGCTTCCGCGAGAACTGTACTGTATATGCATTCATAACAATGTACATGTATGCATTCATAACAATGTACATGTATGCATTTATAACAATGTACATGTATGCATTCATAACGAATGTACATAT